CGATTGACTTGTATGCAGTTTGTTTAAGAGGCCCGAAGTATCTCAGCTAAAGTGTCTCAGCTACTGAGGACCCGCTTTCATTAGAATTTCTTCTACAAGCCAAATTCTCATGCTGTTTTTGAGGCCTGCAGCGCTCATCAAAGGCTTAAAAATCTTATTAAAGTCTTGGGGCGTAAGCCCCAAAGGGATGAGCCCACGTATTGCGGTGTAGTAGGATCAACTTTTTGCCTCCATGCTTTGAGTCCCCCTCCCCTACTGTTTCCCCAGTATTCTAACACAGAACTCCAATCCTTTACAATTATTGAATTTCAAGTGTCTCTTTTAAGAGCCGAATCTGACGAGGAGCTAGCACGACGTCTCCAGCAAGAATTCGAGGAGGAAGCTAGGCGACAGCAAGAAGAACAGGCTCAGAGGGATGCTGAACTTGCTCGACGCCTTGCACTCATCGATCAGCCCCACGCATCGTGCTCAAACGGGTAATCCTCTACTTTACTTACATGTCTTTTTAGCATAAAAGGTCTAGTTATTTAGTCAATTTGCTCCAATTATGGTCCTAAAGCTAGTAAAAAGGGATTGACGGCGAATTTCTTATCATATCACGAGTCCATTCAGAGGCGATCAACATGGACATGTGGTTCCAAAAGAGTTGGAACAACCTTCGAGAGATTTGACAGATCAGCCGTTGATCGATCTCAGCACTGATGAACAACCACCTACGGTTAGAATCTCGAAACAATTACTTTTCAGTTCTTCTCTAAAGACTTGGCTTGGGGAGGGGGGTTCTGGAATTGAAGATGTGCCCTGTATGGGTGTAGTATCTTGTACCCTAATGAGGGTAGTAAGCCGTGTGGGGTAATATTCGAGCATTCATTCTATGGGAGGCTGCGCTAAACGCTGTGATAACGCTGCCGTTCGCTTGGGGAGGAGGAGGAGGCTCCGCTCTATACAACATTGGCTGCTTTCATAGTCCACGATTTGACGCGCGACTGAGCTCGCCAAGTCGTGGACCATGAAAGCAGCCATTGAGTGCTAGAGAGCAAAGATGGAAGGCAAGCCGATTTAGTTTATGCGTAGCGACAGTTATTAACCGAATATGGTATGAATATGTTTTTCACCTGATCCTAAGAAGGGGTAGAGCACCGGGGTGGGTAAGATGATGACTTCGTGCGAAAAGTTGGTACGGGGTAAATATTGAACATCCAATTGATTCAGCTACTACCCCTGTAATCCTTCCATCCTGAGGCATAGTGGACAAAACCTATTTTCTCGGCTTAGAAATGCTTAGAAATGTTCCTGAACAGCATTATGGGCTCGCGAAGTCGTCTACTCCGCTCCACTAATTACTTCTTCACCAGCAGTCCATAACTTCAACCAGAATGAACCAATTCGTAATGGTCAATGCTGGTAGGTTCGATAAAAAGTAAAGAAGTGGGAAGGTAATTGAATCAGAGGTGGAAAGTCCTTTCTCTTTGTCTTTCACAGGTCGGTTGACACAGATTAGTTTCCGGCCTAAAAACTGATTCTGAAGAGGAAAATGGGATTGATCGAGGAATCAAAATATCATACTTGGCGACGTAGAGTAGTCATTTGGAGTACGTTCTTTTCGGACCATTCATTTCATTTGGAATGTAGCCAAGTCGTGGCACACAGTTCTGCAGTGCCAACTCTCGTGGTAGTGCAGTGGCGAACGGCCATGGTACATTCCCCTCCATGATCTTAGAATCCAGTTTGGTCGTGAATTCAGCCTTTAGGGGGCCTATTCACTACAAAATGGTCCCCGAGATGTTCAAATAAAACTAAGCTGGGGCCCAGGTATGTGAAATGGTCCGCTGTCGGCTCGAAAACCGGCCAAGATTGGGTGCATAGGAGTTGAGTACCAGCTTCGCCGTCGTCCACACCCTGAGGTGTACGTGTTCTAACGACGTAGAGGTTGCAGTGTTGGAAAAACAAGCAACTAGTCATGGCGACAGTAAAAGGCAATTTTTGGATTACAGTAATCAGCTCTTTCTGCAATTGCATTCGACTAAAATATCGTCCAAAACCTTACT